TGTTTGGTTATATACAAAACTTTCCTTGTCTTTTAAAGAAACTGAACGAGGGGCAAAAACTTTACCTTCGATTTTCTCTAAACAGCCTTTTTAGGGATAGCCCCCTTGTGCTTAAAAGCGGCGAATTGAAAAATAGATTGTGCACAACGTTAGCTCAGTTTGTATCTCTGATGGACTGCATTGCAAGCCGCCAAGATTCGAATCCCCAGACGAAAGATTTTTTTATAAAGGATGCTTGTTTATAAAGTTTCTATGTCTGTCCTGAGTTAAATCGGAGACGGGCGGAGGTCACTCATCTCAAATGGTCGCTTTTAAGGACAAGCGGGCTAACCCAGATTTCGTGGATTTCCAGAAATCTTGACCTACACCAAAAGTGGGCATTGCCCTACCTATCGGAGAAGTTTGGTTTCGTTTGTGTGTATAGTTCTTTGGTTATATAGAAAACTTTCCTTGCCTTTTAAAGAAACTAAACGAGGGGCAAAACCTTAACCTTCGATTTTCTCAAAACAACAGTTTTCGGGATAGCCCACTTGTGCTTAAAAGCGACCAAATATTACGTTTACTGGGTTGAACAGGGTGTTATACCAATTCCTTGTATGACATAACTCACCCTCGGGTCCACGTGAGCTTTCTTGTGATACCAAAAGGGGCAACAACCCTGTTACTAGAAACCACTGAAGTTGTGTTTTGGGAGAAAGAGAAATCAGCCTTACGAAAATAAGAATTGTCATTCTTCTCTTAAACTGAGAAAAGACGTAGTCTACGTTTGTGATTCTCTATCATTTAATTTTGTGATTTTCTGTACATCTTCGGGCAAATTACGCCAACTCATTTCCCAACCGTTTTGGTTCGTAGTCATGTTCTGTGAGTAGTCGACACGTAGCTTGTTTGGTTGGGAGGGGGGGAGGTAGTTAGTTTTGTTTTTATTATTATTATTTTATTTTTATGTTTTTGTTTTCTTCAACGCTTTTTTTTAACCCTCTATCCGTACGCTCTGGGGTCATTTTGAACCCCCGGGGTTGTATTCTTCACTTTTTAGAACACATTACTTCTATTGCGAAGATCTCTTTGAAACTTTCAGTATTTCTCAAATAATCTTTTTGACAGACTGCTATGCAAACCGTACGGATTGGA